GCATATCCACACCGGGCGAGCTTGAAAAATATGCCCGGCCACGGTGGGATTCGAACCTACGACCTTTGGAATACTAGCCCAATGCTCTTCCAACTGAGCTACGCGGTCAGGACGGTTCGACTAAGTGATATTTCGGAACAGAATCTAGTTCCTTCGATACCAATGTATTCTAGTAATATGAATTTTTTTTCTTTTTTAAATATCATATTCACCTGATATTTTAAATATCATATTCACCTTTTTAAATATCATATTCACCTTTTAAATATCATATTCACCACAAATATCATATTCACCTGAGTACACTACACCAACACAGAAAAAAAAATTCATATTACTAGAATACATTGGTATCGAAGAAACTAGATTCTGTTCCGAAATATCACTTAGTCGAACCGTCCTGACCGCGTAGCTCAGTTGGAAGAGCATTGGGCTAGTATTCCAAAGGTCGTAGGTTCGAATCCCACCGTGGCCGGGCATATTTTTCAAGCTGGCCCGGTGTGGATATGCACTCAGAGTAACATCGCAAACATATTATACACCTGAGTACACAACACCAACACAGAAAAAAAAAATTCATATTACAAGAACACATAGGTATTGAAGGAACTAGATACTGTTCCGAAATATCACTTACTCGAACCGTCCTGACCGCGTAGCTCAGTTGGAAGAGCATTGGGCTAGTATTCCAAAGGTCGTAGGTTCGAATCCCACCGTGGCCGGGCATATTTTTCAAGCTCGCCCGGTGTGGATATACACTCAGAGTAACACCACAAATATCATGAACCAAAATGTTTCAAATGATTTGTTGCCGGCCTAATGTGCGCTACTTATAGTTTATTATTTATCTACTGTGCATGTCTAACGCCAATTTTTATTCGATTCGCATTCGATTAATATTTCCCTGATAATAATAATTGAACGATTAGACAGCTAACAGACCGAGTTTTGCTGCATGCTGTGTAAAAATTATATCGATAAACTTAACATCTAACGCGGATGAAATTGCTAGTATAAAGTTCAATAATATACAACGAGTCCGAAATTTGCTATAAGGAGGGCAATTGAAAAAAAATCAATAAACTTTTTAACTCCTTAGTTTAATTCGGAATTCGAAATGGTGAAGGAAAATATAAGTTGCCTAAGTTAAGTTCGGCGAATCGCGTATATATAGCTTAAATGAGTTTGCCAAATGGAAACTATACTTAACAACTACAAGGACTCTATAGCCGTTAAGTATATAGGCTACTGCAGGTCAAGAACTTAACAACTATACAAAGAAAAATGTCATTGTAAGGAAAGATATTTTAGTTACATTTAATATGAATTGAAATTCCAATAAAAGTCAGTTGAACATTCAACTATGAAAACCAAATAAAAGTCGGTCGATTTACTGGCCTGGTATATATCTGCATGATATACACTGTCAGCCTGTTTCATCCAATGAAGGAATCTTCAAATGGCTAGCTATATAGGCTATTGGATGAATCATAAAACAGATTGTAGTGGCAACCTTTACTCGGCTATATAGCTGACGCCAAGTGTCGATCTTGCATAAATTATAATATATATTTGGCTTGGTATAAATATTTTGCCCGGTTGCCTCAGCATGCAAACTGAGCCAAGAAACAATATACAGTATTACGCAGTACAGTATACAATATTAAACAAAGATACTCACGTATGTTAGACCAGAAAGGTAGAAGTAGAGAGAAAGAGAGAGAGAGTCCCAAATACCTCTAGTCAAGTTCTTCTGCCGCAAGAACGGCAGGTAGGCTATACAAAACGCAATTTGCAGGTTGCCGGTTGGAATTTCGCATGCATGTTGGGAATTTTGCAGGTTGGAATTTTGCAGGTTGGGAACTTTGCAGGTTTGAATTTTGCAGGTTTGAATTTTGCAGGTTGCCAGGAACTTTGCAAGTTGATCATGTAAGCTTAAAATTATAGCACTATAAAGTATTCTAGTATAATTTAATTGTGTACTCATTGCAGTCTGACTCTTTGTCGGCGCTTTTGATATTAGCTTATCTTATTGCTGCCATGTTCCTTGCCTCTGCTTTAACTACTGGCCATCACCCCCGTGCACATATTAAATGACCAGATTGGCTTGGACCTACAGGGAGACTGATGTCTTGTTCGTTGCAACGCGCCTACATGACTTGGCGACGTTTATACTATACAATGTTGTTAAAAGTGAACTAACATTCTCGACTAATGATACGGTATAATTGGGGGCTTGAGTGGACTTCTCGTAGGTGGGTGCGGAAGACAGACACCCTCATTCAGGCATTTTCTGAACTGCCGCCATATATATATATATGCAAAATTAATTATATATATATATATATAAAATTAATTTTGACCTCAATCAGTCTTGCTTAGGAAAGTAAAACCGTTATACAACATTTACCACGAATACTTTGCCGTGCAGCATGCAGACAGGTTTAAAGGACAATCAAACCATTTTGAGTCTTGTGCAATATATATATATATATATATATATATATATATATATATATATATATATATATATATATATATATATATATATATATATATATATAGCTTAGTACTTGAACGCGAAAAGACGGGGAAAAAACACAGAAAACGAAACCATGCAGAATGTTGCATTCGTACATGGCGTCAGCTGTCTCCCAGCCATGTTTTTTACCTATCCATGCATGGTTTATACAATAAAACTCTTATATTTATAGCGCACCAACCGATAGTGATTTCGTTATATTATAATGATTCTTTCATCTGGCCCTTAACAACAATGGTAAATTAAAATACCTCTATTATATAATTATTATAGGTATCGGAACCAAGCGCGCAATTATTTATGTTGATGGGCATATATGTTATAATTAACCCTACAGTTTTGTTTATAGGAATCAAAATGTTTCAATATATATATATATATATATATATATATATATATATATATATATATATATATATATATATATATATATATATATATATATATATATATAT